CCAGGGGAAGGAGCAGAGTGAAGACAGAAGGGGCGTCCCCAGCATCTGAGGGTCTCCTCCACAATGCCACCCCACGGAGGGGTGCTTGTGGGTCTCTGGCTGCTGCTGGCCCCCAGTCTCGCCGAGCCCCCCCCCAGCACAGGGGGGGCCACCCTCGCCTTTGTCTTCGACATCACTGGCTCCATGTATGACGACCTCGTGCAGGTGATGGACGGGGCCTCACGCATCCTGGAGCGGACGCTCAGCAGGAGCATGAAGCCCATCAGCAACTACGCGCTGGTCCCCTTCCACGACCCAGGTACGGCAGGGACAGGGTGAGGGCACGCGTCCCGCGACCCAGGGCTGCGGGGAGCTGGGCTGCAGTTCTGGCTGGGTTTGGGGCTGAAGCGTGCGCTCCCCGAGTGCCTGCACCATCCTTTCTCCCTGTTTTTAATGCCCTGGTGACCGCTGGGGTGGGGATGGCAGCACAGGATGAGCCGCAGCTTGAGGGTGTAGTGCTGGGCAGGGGCTCCCATCCCCAAGCCACCCTGCAGGCACAGGGCAAGGTGTTTCTCACTGGATTAATCCCAGTGATGCCGGCACCCGCTTCTGGGTGGCTCTTCTATTTCCAGCCTTTTCTGATCTCCCTGATCTAATCACAGGGGAGCATTTCTGTACAAGCCCACAATGTGCTTCCAGGTCGCCTCAATAAAAGCACCGCTAGCTAAGAGGTTTTGGTGATGTACTGCAATACCAGAATAATTTCTTTCTGTCCCAGTCTTTGCCTTGGGATTTTTGTGCACATCCATAAATAGCAGCTGTTCTCCAAAAGAGCCCTGACCCCCTACAAGGAGAGTGGGACTGAGGCTTTATTTTCAGTAGAATCACTGAGTTTGAACGAAAATTGCTGGAGCTGGACAGGGAAGGAGGCAGAGGCAGTAAACGGGTTTCTGCATCGCTTTGCTGGGAGACTCCCTCAGCAGAAAAGGGTGCTGGGTTTGCAGCTCACCCTGGCTGGGACCACCCGGTGTGTCAGGGAGAGCTTTCCCGGGGTGGCTGTGCCCCTGGGCGTGGGGACGGTCTGCCCAAATCCATGTCCCACTTGCTGCCAAGCCAGGGTAGATGCTTAACCCCAAGCCTCGCAGGTTTAAGCTGGGGTGGGTGCTTGGGAGCACCGGAGGAGGCTGGTGCCCGTGATCGGGGAGGCTGAAGCGGTGGTGCCGGTGTGGTTGCAGAGGTGGGACCCGCCACCCTCACTGCGGACCCCCGGCTCTTCCAGCGGCGCCTGCAGGAGCTCCGTGTCCAGGTAAGGTGTCCGTGGCTGGCTTGGTGCGTGGCCCACGGTGCGTGGTGGGAAGCTGTGCCCTGCGTCCCTGCACACTGGTGGGTCCTGGGAGCAATCCCTGCTCCCCTCCGGGCCTGGTGTCCCCTGGGAACATGGTGGGGGCTCGGGGCTGGGCTGGGCTGGGCTTGCTGGGGGCTGACCACACCAGCCTGGGAGCAGAGAGGGTGGGTAACACCGGCACTGTGCCCCAGGCTCCTGCAACGGGGCAGAACCCTTGCAATTCACAGCTCTTGTCCCAAAGCGGGAATGCTTTCCCTGGGAGAGTTTACACACACGCTCCATGAAGCCAAAAATCTCTTTTACTAGAAGTGCTATTTGAAAATTGTTTGAGGTTTTTTATTATTTTTTTTAAACAATTTCAGCTGCATTCTGCCAGCTGAAACACTCTCTGAGAGTTTAATCATGCTTTATCCATCCCAGCTCCTGTCCTGCCTCCCCTGCATTGCTAAATCCCCGTGGCGTTTCCCTTCAGATGCAGCTGTGTTTTGGCAGGAGGTGTAAAGCGGCGGCTGCAAATCGTTTCACAGCCCTTCAGAGTGCAAAGCCCCGTGGAAGTGGGGGCTGGTCCTCGCTGTGCCACTGCGCTTGCCTGGGGTGACCGGTTCTGCTGCCATGTGGGGGGTGATGGGCTGGGGTGGGCACAAATGTGCCCGCTAAAGGTGTTCGTGGGAAGCCAGTGGCTTCTGTGAGTCTGGATCGCTAAATGGGTCATTTAATTATCATTAGCAGTGAGACAGCAACGGGTCCTTGTGATCCTGCATGTCCCCGTGGTACCATCACGCTGCTCCGGCTGCGCTTGGGCTGAATCCAGCAAACTGGTGCAATTCCTCCCCACGAGCAGACCCTGGGTGGGATCCTGCTGGGAGCCCAGGAGGGAAGGGCTGAGTACTGGGTGGCTCGGTGCTGTGCCACATCCCTCACTGCATGCCGCAGGGCGGAGGGGACTGCCCCGAGATGAGCGTGGGAGCCATCAGGCTGGCTGTGGAGGTCTCGCACCCCGGCTCCTTTGTCTACGTCTTCTCGGATGCTCGGGCCAAGGACTACAAGGAGCAGGAGGAGCTGCTGCGGCTGTTGCAGCAGAAGCAGACGCAGGTGAGCGGTGCTGCCCACCGGCCTCCTGTGAGAGCCGGCTTGGGTGGATGCTGCACAGCACGATGGCAGCTCCTGGCAGTGAGTTACAGCAATAAACTCCCCTATGCTGCCTGTTAGTGGAGTGATTTTTGCATCCCCTGGGCTGGCTCGATGTATCAAGGGCTGGTGGATGCTGGACGTGTCCCCTCCCTGGGATGGACAGACCCCCTGTGGCTGTGCGTGATGCCACAGGGACTGTTGCTGTGGCAGGTGGTGTTCGTGCTGACGGGGGACTGCGGAGACAGGAGCCACCCCGGGTACCGTGTGTACGAGCGCATTGCGGCCACCAGCTCTGGGCAGATCTTCCACCTGGACAAGCAGCAGGTGACAGAGGTGAGCAGGGAGACACACAGGAGGAAGGATGGTGTGCCCAAGGTGTGTGTGATCCAGTCCGGCTCGGCTGCTTTTATATTCTCCTGAGGTTAATCCTCGTGTCCAAGGCACCTCCAGATTGCTCGGGGAGCCCTCCTTTAGCCTGAAACCAAAGCAAGGGCTTGAGAAAGCTGGTTGCTCTCGAGCTTGCTGCTGGGCTGTTTGTGTGATCCTTGGGATGAGCTGACTCATGGAGGGGAGGCGTCTGCTTGGGGCTGAGGCTGAAGCTGGGATGCTCCTGTCGCTGTCAGCACCCCGGCAATCGGGCAGGTGGCCTGGCCATGGGGACAGGAGCCTCTCTGCCTGTCCCTGCCCTTGAAGCTCTTGATCAGCACGAAATCTTGGAGACCTGAGGAAGATCAAAGTGCTTTTCTGCTCATAGCTGGGCAGCATCTCTCAGCAGATCCCAGCAACAGCCCCTGCCCAGCCTCCGGCAGTTGTGTGTTTTAATGGTTTCTATTCCCACGAGTGAGCTGCGGGTAATAAGGCACCTGCTCTGAGCAGAAGCCACTTGGCAATAACAATTACACCAAATTACTCAATTCCTTTAACACCTGCTCGTACCAAGGGGGGCTCAGCAGGGGCCACTGCCGCCTGTCCCCATGCCACCCTCATGCTGGTACCCACCAGACCCAGCTGGGGCTGGCCTCTTGCCTGGGCACTGTTTTGAGGCCGTGCCTGAGATTTTGACTTGGTGCGATACAGCCCTGCTCCTGATGCAATGGCCAAGCCTGATGGTGATGGGGGATCCGGGCTAATCCTCCCCCAGGTGCTGAAGTGGGTGGAGGAGGCCATCCAGGCCTCCAAAGTCCACTTACTGTCCACGGACCACGAGGACGGTGGGGAGCACACGTGGCCCGTCCCGTTCGACCCAAGCCTGAAGGAGGTCACCATCTCCCTGAGCGGCCCTGCCCCGGGGATCGAGGTCCGGGATCCAGCAGGTAGGAGCCCAAGGGAGGGGAGCGGGCAGGGGTGATGCGTTACCTCCTGGAGAGCCCTCAGAGGATCCCCGCAGGTCAGGACAAGCGGGAGGCTGCAGGCATGGGAATTGCCAAACCTCGCACTGAAAACAAATAAAAAAGCAATGAGCTGCAAAGCTCTCATTAAGCACCAAGCGCATCTCCTCTGCTCCCCTCCGATTGGCTTTGCCTCTGGCTTTAGGAGGGCATTCTCTGCTGCCCAGGCTGTGAGAGCTATGTGAGGGGCTCTGCACCGCGGTGAGCCCCGAGGAAGGGAGATCCCAGCTGGCTGCAGGGATTGGGTGATGGACCTGGGTTGCCCATCCCAGAGGTTGACTTGCTGTTGCAGGAAAGGTCCTTGAGAAAGGCCAAGGTCTGAAGGAACTGCTCAGCATCCCCAACTCAGCCATGGTGGTGGCTGTGGAGCCCCACAAGCCAGGAACGTGGTCGGTCACGGTAGGCTGGTGGCAGACCCCACATGTTGTCCCCTACCCCCCTGGTGGGTATTTAGCTGGCCAGGCTTTGCCAGGCTGTGGGCTTTCCCCCATCCACCTCCAGCTGGGCAGAGGATGCATGAGCGGGCTGGAAGGGGCCGGTTGCTGCCGCCTCACTTCCCCATCGTCTCCCCCTTCCCCTGCCCTTGGCACATGCTCCACTTCCAGACCCAGAGCAGCGGCCGCCACTCGCTGAGGATCACGGGCATCAGCAACATTAATTTTCAAGCCAGCTTCTCCACTCAGCCGGACTTTGATGCCAGCCAGCATGGGGAGCGGCCAGTGCAGGGTGAGGCTGGTGCTGCCCGGGGCACGCGGATGCTGCATCCGAGTGTCTTTCGGCCGGGAAAGTGGCTGGGTTGTTTTTTCCCTTCCCTCCCTCCAGGTCTGCCCATCTCCATAGTGGTGAACTGCACCGGTCTGAAGCCGCCTGGACACTTGCAGGAGATCGAGCTCTTCAACACCTCCGGCCGTGCCATCCTCTCGCTCCCTGCACGGCCCCTCTCCAACACCTCCTCGGAGCACCTCTGGGTGAGCTCACCACTCCGCGTCCCCCCGGGCGACTTTCTGCTGAAGGTGAAGGGCAAAGATGCCCAGGGCCACCCCCTGCACCGCCTCTCCGGGGTCACCTACACCAGCATAGTCCCTGGTGAGTGGTCCCCATGCTCCCAAGGGTGCTGAGAAGGGACCAGAGGCCCCTTCCAGCACCGCCTCTGCTTTGGTTTCTGGTTTGGTATTCTTTTATCCCGCTTCCCAACACGACTCTTGGTGAGCTCCCGAAGAGTGTTATATGTGTGCGTGTCCCCAACTGTTTCTAGGTCTACCCAAAATGAACATCTCCAGCAAGATCCAGGCTTACAACCGTGAGCCGCAGCTGATCTCCTGCTCCGCACAGAGCGAGGTCCCTTTCCGCCTGCAGCTCAGCCGGGGTAGGATGAAGCTTGGGGAAGAGCAGCTCTTCAGGTGAGCCTCCAGTTTGGCCCAGTGGGGTCCATCATGAATCCGCGCGGGCAGCAATAGCCCCCTGAATTGTGCCGTCCGGGGGGATGCTGTGCTGGCTGGGCGTCTGCCAGCCCTGAGCATCCCAAGGCAGCAGAGGAAAATCCTGAGGGATGTGTCTGTGGGATGCTGTGGGGGGTGGGGGTGCATCCATTTGCCTGACTTGGATGGAAGAGAGTCCTAGGGATTTAGAGCAGGGTGGTGGCATGGTGGCCCCAGCTCCAGTGCCCTGGGGTGGGGGTGACCCTGTAATCTCCCTTTTTGTAGGCACTGGGGGAACATCAGCTGGTTGATCCCTGCGGTGTCCAAGAATGATGAGGGGTTTTATGAGTGCACAGCCACGAGCAAGGTTGGGGTGACACGGGCTCGCACCTACGTCTCTGTCTCAGGTGAGGACTGCTCGTGCCCAGCCTTGGTGCCCACAGGTGTCCGGGTCCGTGGCTGGGCACAGGTTTGTTTCACCTTGCCGTGCCATGTTTGCAGAGCCACCGCCGCGTCTCATAGCCCCAGGCAACATCACGGCTTCACTGGGCCAGGACGTGGTCATGTCCTGCCCGGTTCTGAGCGATGTGCACTACAACCTGACGTGGAGCTGGGATGGGAAGGTGGCATGGCCAGCGAACAGCCGGACCAGGCTGCTGCAGAACCGCTCGCTGGAGATCAGCCGCGTGCAGCTGGGGGACGAGGGTCTCTACGAGTGTGTGGCACGCAGCGCCCACGGCACCGCCGCTGCCTCCCTGTGGCTCTTTATCCAGGGTAGGCTCTGCCCCACGCAGGACCCTGGCCTGGGTGATGCCTTGTCCCGTGGGAGGGAGGGCAGCGGATGGCATCTGGGGGCTGAGCCCTTCTCCGACCCCGTGCAGAGGCGCCGTGGGTGAAGGTCGACACCAGCCCCCAGCGTTTCAGCAGGGGCCAGGAACTGCGGCTGAACTGCACGGTCGGGGGCCACCCCCTGCCCCACGTCACCTGGAAGCGCTGGGGCTGGGCGCTGGAGCAGGACAAGAGGTAACCCGCAGGGACCTGCATGCCTTCATCCTCCCTGTCCCGCTGGGGATGGTGCTCCCTTTGCAGGGGTGCATGGACTCAGGGAGAGAGTTGCCTGTCGCTCTGGAGAGAGGAAAGCGTTGCAATATCCCCAACCCGTGCACCCGAGATGGCTGGCGTGCTGCTAGGTCTATTTTAATATATTTATTTTTAAGCCATCCTGCCTTATCCAGGTCACTGTTCCCACCAAGGGGGACTTGAAGTGCTTCGCACACCTGGTGTGCACTCAAGTCTCAAAATATTCCTTGTGCTTCCCCTTAATTTCTTCTACTTTTGGCTTCCACCACCCTGCCTGTGTCAGGCTGTGAGTGCTGGTGTGGACTTTGGGGAAGATTTTTTTTCTTTTTTTTGAGATGAAAAAGCCCAATTCTCAATGCTTTTCCCTGGTTCAAAGCAATGTTCTTCCCTGGAGCAGCTGGTTTTTAAGTGGTAACCGACATCTATCAAAGGTCTAGCGCTTCTGCATGCTTTACCGGGATGGCTTTAAGCCCACTCACTTGTTTCAACACATTTTTTCACTGGCTCCATTTTCACAGGATTTGTTTCTCCCTCTCTCCCTGTATGCTGCAGGGTTTTCACGGATGCTCAGGGCACCCTGCACATCAGGGCTGCCACCCCAGAGGATGCGGGGAATTACAGCTGCCACGCCAGCAGTGTGCTGGGCTGGGACGAGCAAGCCGTCACCCTGGAGTTCACCGGTACCCGCTCCCGGCCAGCCGGCAGCATCCCGGGAAGGGCCTGGGCTTAGAGCTGCTACAGGAGGGATTCATTATCCCTCTTTGCTGTCCCTTGGCTGCCAGCTGGGACCTTGCAGCATGCAAACTATGGGATGGGGCTGTCCGTGATGGAGGGTGTTTGGAGCGGGGCTCCGGGGTCCCCTCGGGGTGAAGGGCACCACACCCAGCACTGCCGGGAGTCACCGAATCCATGTCTCTCCCTGCGGCGCAGAGCCTCCCGCCATCCTGGCAGTGACGCCCAGCCTGAAGGCGCTGGTGGGAGAAGACGTGACCCTGGAGTGCTGGGTTTCGGGGGTGCCCCCACCCCGCATTGTGTGGTACAAAGGTGAGACTGCGATGGACCTGGGGAGCAAACCCCCTCCGTGCACCGGGGGCTCTCTGCTGCCCTGCAGGGGCATCACATTGTGGGGTTCCCTGGACGGACGATGGGAGGGACCCCCGGAGGAACTCAGGGTACTGATGCGAGGGGGTCTCGGGGCAGGTGAGCAGGTGGTGGCGGCGTTCCCACCCGGCACCCAGCGTGCCATCCTGCGGCTGCAGGCAGTGCGGGAGGAGGATGCGGGGCGGTATGTCTGCAAGGCTCTCAGCGATGCCGACGTCACCTTTGACAGCACCGTGCTGGATGTGGGGTGTAAGTCTCTGCCTCTCCTTTTGGGTGCCACCGAGCACTCAAACCTATCTCCACTGCTCTCCCTCCCAGCTCAGCTCCCACTTGCTGCTCCTCTTGCCCCCAACTCCTGGGTTTCCCAACACGGGGGTGCTGGTGCTCAGTACAAGCAGGCTGAAGCCTGGTGGGATTTGCAAGGGTCAGGAGGAGGGAAGAGGGTGAGGAGGAGGCAAGAGGCTCAAGAAGTGGCAGAAGACTGGTGCAGATGCTATTGCATGGGACATGATGTCTTGGGGCAAGGCTGGGGGGTGCAAACTGCAATTAGTGGGATTAGGTGGAGGTGGGGGCTGGCTCCTGTGTGTCTGAAAATCCAGATACCCCAACCCACACTCAGGGCTTCCCACCAGAGTCAGAAGGGATGGAAGAGCCTGGGGAGAAGGAGAGGAGGTTTGGAGTTGGAGGCAGTAGGGCTTGAAGCAGTTAAAGGTGGAAAAGTGCAAAAAGTTTTGCTGAGCCAGGGGGGTGCTGAGTGTAACTGGAAGGGGTGGAAACTGCAATGGCTATAACAGCTTCGGAAAAACACCAAAAGCTTGAAGTTAATATCATAACTTTTCAGGGTTACCTGGTTCATGGATTTTGCAGCCCTGTCTCTTCTCTGGGCTCAGCTGTGTGCAGAGCCTGCTGTGGGGGTGTCGGACCTCTCTGAGCCCCTTCTCTGCTGCTCTCTCCTCCAGCTGCCCCTCACTTTCCCGAGCCCCTGGGGGATGTGGCGGTCGAGGTCGGGGAGAGCATCAGCCTGCTGTGCCGTGCCGAGGGCTCTCCCCCACCACGGGTCACCTGGTCCCGGCAGGACAGGAAGCCCGTGACGGGGTGGCATGGGCCGCATGGTGTTTCCAGCCAGCTGGAGGCTGCCGAGCTCCTCATCGACAGTAAGAGAGCTGAGCGTGCAAGCGTGCATTGGCGTGGCAGAGAGTGTGCGTGGGCACCCTGCCCTGCTGCGTGCTTACACAGTGTCACCCTCGGGTACTTTCCCCCTACCTGCTGCAGGCTGGGGTCCCGGCGGTGGGATTAGTCCCCATGCCCACCCTTTTTCTGCAGGTGTAAAGCGTTGATATAGTGGGTTAATTTTGCACTTTTTACTCACGCAAGCTTAGCTGTGCTGTAACAGCCCACAAGCCTCCAGCACTGCAGTGTCCCTCCTCCATCGGAGGTGGTGGCAGGGCAGGGAAGGGTGGTGTCACCTTGTCCTGGAGCTTGCTTGGGGCTCTCCAGCCCCACCATGCTCTGGCACTGCCAAGCTCAGGCTTCTCCCCACTGTGCTCCAGGTGCCTCGCAGGATGACCAAGCCGTCTACATCTGTGAAGCTCAGAACGAGTTTGGGAAAATCCAAGCAGAGGTCAAGCTTGCAGTCACTGGACACGGTTTGCTTTTATGTGCTTTTGTTGGTGTATTGATCCCGGCTGCTGCCAGCACCGGTTGTGCCAGCGGCAGACCTGTGCAGCCGCGTCTGCTCCCGAGCCGGCCTTGGTCAATGCTCAGCAAACCCCCTCCCAGCGCAGGGTTTGGATAACGCCCTTCCACCTCTTTGGCTTAATGCGCTGATATGGGCTTGAACCCAAACTGCAGACAAATATCCCCAAATTCTTGGGGGAGCTGAATGACAGAGCTGGCCTGTGCTGAGCCAAAGTCTGGACCTTGGAAGAAAGGCAATCCAGATCTCTCGTCTTGAGCATTCCTGGCCAATTTATCTCTAATTAGTATTGTTTTCCCTTTCCCCTCTCTCAAGCAGCCCCAGAAATAGCTCTTGCATCCCCTGTGGTCCACACGCTCCCAGGTCAGCCTGTGTCGCTGCCCTGCGTGATCCTCGCCGGGAGGCCGTTCCCAGCCCGTCGCTGGCTGAAGGACGGGCAGCTGGTGAGGTTTCCACATCCACAGGGATAGTGGGTCGGTGGGTGGGCAGCTGCAAGCGCAGCCCTGTGGCGGGGGCTTTGCTGCAGGATGGATGCCCCAACATCCTGGGGCCAAAGCTGCTGGTGAAAGATGCCAGGGGAAAATTTGAGTTGGGAGGGGAGTGTGGGTTCATCAGTGCATCAGGATGTTCCTACTCCTTGAGGATTGTTTTCTAGATATGCCCAAAGACACAGTGATATTTCACACGCACAAACACACACTCCCATTTGTCTTGCTTTCTTCTCTCTGTGCCCAGGTAGCCCTGAGCGGCCGCTACTCTGTCCGGGCAGACGGGAGCCTGCATGTGGACCAGGCATCGCAGGGGGATGCGGGGAGGTACACCTGCGAGGTGACCAATGCCTTCGGCTCGCACAGGCAGGACACGTCCCTGGTCGTCCACGGTGAGTGGCAGGGTGCTGGGCATCCCCACTCTGCAGTGAATGGGGGGCAGGTGTCCTCTGCACTTCATAAGCTGCAAAGCACCGCTCTCTGGTGGACGTAGCCCTGGCCACGCAGGCTGAGGTGCTTCTTTTCCTTCCCAGTTCCTCCCAGCATTGAGCTTGGCCCTGTCCTTGTCACTGCCACCGAGGGAGCGGCCGTTGCCCTGCGGTGCAATGCCACCGGTGTGCCCCCCCCTACTGTAACCTGGACAAAGGTAGGTGACAGGGACGGGCAGGCTGCTGTCCCACTGCCAGCCAGGCTGTGGGTCACCCTTGGGTGCAGGATAATGTGTTCGGAGGGGATGTAGCCACCAGTGTGGCTGTGGCCGCCCTGGGAAGCTGGGACCGGGAGGTAGCCTGCTCTGATGGGTCCAGAGCCCTTTTCTTGTTCTTGGGATGCTCAGCTCATGGGAGAGTCTCTGCTGCATTCCTTCCTTGCTTCTCTTGCTTCTGCAGGGCACAGAGCCCGTCTCACCGAGCCTACGCTACCACCTCAATCCCAATGGGACCCTCCTGATCCCTTCACCTTCCCCTGGGGATGCTGGGACCTACTTCTGCACAGCTACCAACACAGCAGGCTTCTCCAGCCGGGAGATGCAGCTCTCCGTCAGCAGTGAGTGCCCGGGACTGGTCCTGGCACCAGCTCCCAGTAGAGCAGCTCTGGAGGGTGCCTGTGTGGCAGAGCATGACCTGGGGACTCTCCAAGCTTCCTTGGGCCACCTAGCCAGGTGCCAGATGGGTTTGTGGGATGGGAAGAGCAGCAATGAGGGCTGTGGGGTACTTGAAGTGTTCCTGCACCAGCCATGCTCCCTCTCCACCCAGCAAAGCCCAGGATCAGCGTGAACGGATCGCAGGCATCGGACCCTGTAACTGTCCTGGCCGTGCTTGGGCAGGAGACCACCCTGCCCTGCGAGGTTCAGGGCTCTCCCCCTCCCTTGGTGGTGTGGACCCAGGAGTCCCAGCCGCTGCCTCTTTCCACCGCAAGGTAAGGAGAGTGGTGGGTTCCAGGGCCATGATCTCTTGGTCTGAGGAAGGGAAGGTGGCCCCAGCGCAGCTCCCTGGCCCCGCTCGCCCATCTGCCTTCATGCATGGTCCTGCCTGGTGCCATCACGGCGCTGGAGGTGGCGAGGCCAAGGATGTGCCTGGGGATGGCTGATACTTGCGGGAGGTGTTGGACCAGGGCTTGATGCTGCTCCACACCCAGGCGGCTGCAGGGCACCAGGTTGGTGGAGGAGTTTTGATATCAGGAGGAGGAGGAGAGCAGCATGGAGAGGAGCACAGGCAGACAGGGACACTGGGGGTGCTGTGACCTCCGCTGCCTCTAGCGGCCCGTGTGTCAGGGTGTGACATGGGCTTCAGGCACCAAAATGCTTCCAGGCCAAGGTTTGGTAGAAACACAGTTGTGAGCCTGGTGGTGGCTTTGTGCTGGGACATGGGTTTGAAGGCCAGTTCTGTTCCAGTGGGTGACTTCTGGAGGGCCAAATTCACTTGTTGATGGTATTGAGGCTGATGGCAGCGATGGGACAGTTGTTTAACGCCATTTGATGAGAGAAGATAACCTGGAGATTGGTTGGACATCTGTTTATCGAGTGCTTTGGTCTCTTCTCCTTGGAGGGAGAAGGTCCTGGAAGCAGGATGTGTTTTCTCAGTACATTAGCACAAGGCTGGAAGGGGATCTGTAAAATCATGGGCTTCAATCTTGGGGTTAATCCTTTCTTCTCCTGCACCTGAGGATTGCTGTGGCTTGGAGAAGCAGGAAGGCCTCTTGGTTTTGTTCTTCTTGAGCGACTCTGTGGCCTTACAGTTTTTGTTTGGTTTCCTATGGCTGCCCCTGGTTGAACTGTGCTGCTCTCCACATCTCAGCTGGCTTGTTCTTGTGTGCCCGGGTGATTTATGGAAGCACATGAGGAGGAATCTGCGGCTGTGGGCTGAGATGATGTTATGTCTGTGGAGCACAGACAGCACTGGGAGTGAGAGCACGGCCAGCTCCAGCTGCAGGGGCCGTGCTCCGTGGGGAACCCCATCCCTCTTGGTCCCCCCAGGTGGGTGGCTCACGCTGCTGCCTCGTGCTGAGCTCATGCGGGAGCTGAGCAAAGGGACAGCTCTGCCACCCTCCTTGTGCAGGAGGTGGTCCTGGGGACCTTCTCTTGGCTGCCTCAGGGCGATGGTGAGCTTTCAGTTCTTAGCTCCTGCCCAGAGGTAGATGACAGAGGACACGGCTGTTCCTCCTGTCCAGCTTGTTCCTCTTCCCCAAGGTACAGCGTCCTCCCTTCTGGGTCCCTCCGGCTGGCCAAGCCCCAGGTGATGGACGCTGGTCTCTACACCTGCACAGCTATGAACGCTGCAGGGAACGCCTCACTCAGCTACAGCCTGCATGTCCAAGGTTCGTATCCGCTGGTTAAAATGCTCTTCCCATGGCCTGTGGGTCTTAATGCACCACTGCGATCCTGCATCCTCCAAGTCCCCAACTGCTCTGGCTTCCCTGTGCCAGGGTCCAAGAGTGGTCCCAGTCTGAAGTCCCTTCTCCCCCCAGTTCCCCCCCAGCTGCTGATCGGTGATGGGGAAAGCCATCTGACGGCCGTCGCCAATAACTCCCTGAGGATTCACTGTCGTGCCATGGGCATGCCCACACCCCAGATCCAGTGAGTACTGCAGAGTGGTCGGTCCTACCCACGTCCCCCTGAGCTCCCTCGGGCTGTGTAACACCCCGGGGGTGCTCTGCAGCCCAGTGTGCAAAGCTGCAGCAGAGATCGGGGTGGGCACTCGGGATAGGTGATGGGGACCCCAGTGTGAGGTGTCCCTTGGGATGAGAGGCATTAGTCCTGATCCTTGCCCCTGGGATCCC